TTAGCATTGATCGGTTTAATTTCTTGCAATTAATTAATTATTTTTCAATTATTTGCTCTTCTGCTGAGCGAATGGAATAAAATTCCAATTAACAGAAAACAATAAGAATGGAGAAGGATTCCAAGCTATTTACAATTTGACTAGAAAAGTGTGCAAGCATTTTAAATCTCGTGTCAACAAAGGAATGAGTCTCGAGAATCATTATGGCCCGAACAGGAAGTTTTCTTGTTCAAGCATGTTACATCTTTGGTAAGCAATCGGGTTTACTTTGCTTTCATCTACATCACTTTTACGCCTATGCACATTGTTATCTTAATCCGTGTGTTGACACGCTTTGCATGATGGAATACTTAGAATTCGCTTCCGCACTTGCTTAGTCGTCCAGGCGAGTAACCTCTACCCTGAGCTGTACTTCCTTCAATAGCTAACGATGCGTTTCGCCAAAATTTAACGACTTTAGGCCATAATTGTAATCCTAAAGGCAGTATATGGCGTTAATTTTGTTTCCTCACACCAATTTTTTGTGCATGAAATAAAAGAATGATAATGTGCGTCATAAAGTTTCCCTGACAATTTTCCGGTATTTTTACCTCTCAGGGACTGAGAGGCTGTTCGTATGCGGTCATAAAAAAAAAGTCGGCCATAAAATCCGCCACTCGTTAACGTGATTGCAAACTTGCCCGTACAAAATCCTTAAAATGAAACTCTAACTAAAAGCACTGCCAATCACACAAGCTATTGTCGTCTACGTCATTTGTCTGCGAACTTACGGATTAGCGCGCGTCACGCCAGTTCGTCACACGTCACGCCAGCTCGATCTTCTTCTCAACTGGGGCTCTTTTAGGGAAAAGAATACCGCCCATTTTCTCGGAAACACACATTAGAGTCCAATGAGGTAACACATTTTGCCACTGCGTTTCATTATTAAGATTGAAAATCAATTCTAAAGACAGTACGATTTCAAGATCTCATAATCGAAGCAAATGGACTCCATATTAAAGCAGTCCTTGATCGCAATTGCGAAGATTAGTTGTGAAGCAGTGCTCCTTAGTTGCCTTAGCTGTAAACAGCTGTTTTAAATTGCAGTAGAGTACTTTTAGATCGTGTGTCCTCAAACGAAAACCAGAAAAATAAAACTCACGGTTTAAAGGATTTACAAGGACTCTAAGTAAGCCTATACAACCCAGATGATGACTGGTATTCATCAGTTTTAGCTCTGCAAATGATTCGTGAAGAGTATATCGCGAGTTTTCCAAACCAATCACAGAGCATTGTAAAGCAGAAACAAGGAATTTTGGACTAATCATGTGACCTTCAATTTTGAAATTGTTGTATAATTTTCGTTTATACGTTCGAGTCTGTTTTACTTCCGCAAACGTTGTCATTCAGTGGGGGGGGGGGGGGGGGGGGGGGGGGGGGGGGGGACTTACTTACTTACCCTTGAATTCTAGTTCCTAGATATTTCTTGTAGTTTTTATTTTGTGTAATGTCTGATAGTTACTTCTTGTTCTTCGGGGTTAGAATGTGGAGAAAGTTACAGCTTCAGAAGAAGATTATCAGGCGTTAAAGAAGGTAAGAATATTTGAAATTTACTCTACGAATGTAAATTTTTTAATCGGTTCTTAGCAAGCGACTTTGGATCGTATATCTTCATTAAAGCTCTCGCGAGATGAATGCATGCATAATACATTTGAGGATGACATTAGGCAAAAACCGCTTCTTTTTTATAACAAACCCTTCAAGTTCGATTCCTTTCCTAAGCGTGGCTGATAAATGATCACTTTGCAGTGCGTTGTGCCGTTAAGCACAAAGGGTATCTAGAATAAACCTTCTGGGAAATGAATCAAAGAAGGGTTCAGCCCATGAAAATTTACTCAGACCAAAATCCTCAAAATTGAGCGTACTCTTGATTTTAGCATGATAACTGGAAATTTCGTTCCAGTCGCTTCTAATAGAGGCTACGTTGATAAGAGGTGAAAAAGGAGATCACATGTACAGCGACTACCTTTAAGTTGGCTTACTCGTCGCGACCTTTTCCTACAACCACAGGAAATGGAGAATTTGCGACAAGAGCGTGACAGTTTGAGGCACGAATGTGACCGATTGCGGTGTGAGCGTGACGCAGTGCAGTTGGAACGTGACACTCTGTTGGGTGAAAAGAGTAATTTGCAAGCTGAGCTGAATAACAGGAATGACATCATACAGCATCTTCAGGATCACGTGGTGAGTAATGTCACTTGAGAAAGCTGAGTGTATATATCAAGCATGTTGCTAATCTCGTACCTAGATCCTACCTTGTAACTGTAACTGAAGGGAGCTAACAACCTCTTGGTCGTGAGAAGTCTGGGTACGAGACTTGCATGGAGCTATAGCTTGGGTAATACAAGCAAAAATGTAGTGTTTTCTAGAACTCTTGAAACCTTGGTTGGTTAATTTTTTTTTAGTGTTTTCTACGGACTTCATCCTTTAGTATCTAACTGCGCATCTTTAACCATTTAAACATTCAGGGTGGCTAGCATCTTATGTCTCTCTATGGCATCACTGCTGAATCAAACTTAAGGCTCATGGGAACTTGGAAAATGATCATTAACTTGAAAAAGACTCGATTTTTAAGTAACTTCTCCTTGTGAAGACCATGGGAAATGTAGATCGAAGAATATGGAGAATATGTGCATTGGTTTTTAGGGAATTAAATTCTGATACTTCTTGCGTGATCGTTGTTTGCACATGGAAACAAACTTTGACCCGTTCGATCGTTCAGTTTGAAGTTGTGTATAGACTTTACAAATTGGTCCTATAAAAGGGTATAGTTTTGTGTATTGTCCGCAAAAAAGGGCTTGGAGCAAGGAAATGTCGACAGGTTTTTAAGAACGTCTTTTCCACCCAGATTCAAATGATATTCAGAGGAAAGGGGGTAAGTTTCTAGAGAAACTTTGGTGTCATGTCGGTGAGGGTTATTACGAGATAATTTGGTGTTATCAACAGAGTTGATAATGTGAAATGGCTATCGTAAAGAGTTTCAAAGTTGGCGTTTCAAGCGTTAGCCTTGGGTATTCGCTCTGACAAAGGGCTTACGCTCGAAACGTTAGCTTTAGAAACTCTGTGCAGTGGCCACTTTTCATTATCAACTCAGATAACCCTTGTTTACCCCTCCCCTCTCCCTACTGACGCAGCACCACAGTTGTTTTAGAAACTTATCCCCTTTATTCATTTAAATTTCTGAAGAACAGTTTTGGGAGTAGATGATACCTGGTCATCCCATTTAGGTAGAGGAAGACGATATGTTTAGAAATGTCAAGTTACGAAACCGAGAGGAAATTGAAAAACGATGTACTCCGAAGGTCCGCTCTAGGCGAGGTCCTTCAACGGCATACAAAGCACATAACCTTTTTCAGGTTCTTTTTAGGTGACACAACCTGATTTCAAGTAAATACACTCATGCGAGTCACTGAAATTTTCAAATCTGGGCCCAGTTCTATAAAGATCGGATAACGCTATCTAGAGGATAAATTTCTCCTCGACTGATGAGTGATAGCAAAACGTAGTGCGTCATTCACCGTATACAGTTTTATCCAGTGGATACCGTTATCCAATCTTCGAACAATCGGGCCTTGATGACTTGTGACCTTCTCTTCTTTTCAGTCAATGTCAGTTCATTCCCTGGTCGAGCCAGATGCTGCCAAATCGACCCCTAAAAGGCAAAGGTCAAAGTCTGAAGTGCGCCGCCCAGCATTCTACTTCCCTGAGGAGATGGCAAAGACAAACGCTTACACTTGTCTATAAAAAATGTTACAGCGCTGTAGTCTTTTAAATTATTGCTCAAGAGGCTATTATAATTTATCCTTTGGTGTTTGAATGCGCATCGTCAATATAGATAACTTCTCGCGCTTCTCGCGTGATCAGTGTTGACGCAATAAATAATAATATGGTGACTCGCTGTTTAACACGTTTTTTTTTATTCTTCTATTTTTTTTGGCGTAAACGTTTCTTTCTTAAAGTGCATCATTCAAGCATTTTCTCCCTTGTCACTAACATGATGTTATTTGGAGGTTCAACTCAATGGGCTGGTTGTTACCTCGGGTAATCTCTATAGGAAAGTTGATTTAATTCAATAAAGGTTATTTCCACGATTAGCTTTCGGTCCTCTTGACACTGTTACACAAATATAAATGTTCAGATAAAAATTTCAGCTAAATAAAACATAGATTAGAACGTGGTTTGGTTAAACAACAACTACGCCTTATTTAAATAAGCGCATCCCTCAGGTGTGCCGCCCTGCTGTCAGTTAGACGATTATCACTGAGGTATAACACCGCGAGTTTACAGTTGCCATGTTTAAGTGCATCAATTAGGTGTGCGGCCCCGACGTAAATCAGACGATTATTACTGTGGTATAACATGGCAAGTTTATAATTGCCATGTTTAAGTACATCACTCAAGTGTGCTCGTAAACTTGCCAACAAGTCAATGTTGAAGCTTGGTAAAAACATCGATGCTACGCATTTCTTGAGCCTCACCGGGGCTCCGGCCACACATTGAATCACCAGTTTTCAAGCGCTTTGGTGAATATGATCAGCAAAAATTCCTGCAATTCTTGGGTTTCCTTCATGGTATCGATCACATGCTTAGCAACTAGGAATTCTTGAACAGTAAGGAGCATGAAACAGAATTGAGTTTCACTTAGGTCAAGAGGGGCTGGGCCAGCTAGGTCAGGTAAACGATGGAGCAATCCACAGTCTTCTAGTCCTTCGACTTCTTGTGTCGTTAAGATTAATTCACTTCTCCGTTTGTGAAAAATATTGCTTGCAGGTTTGACGTAACGAGGCTTTTGCCGGCAAGAATTAGCTGCATACTTTTAGCCAATCAGATCTGACACCGAAAAACCGATAACTGATAGTTGTACTTCAAGGGAAGTGGCTTAGTATTCAAGGTAGCGGGAAATTCGAGTTTATGAAGCAGAAAACACACAAAAATTTAAACTTTCAACAATCGTTTCCTTTATTTCCTTTTTCAGCTAGAAGTAAGCGAAATACACTGACCAAAAAGTTTGCACTAAGGAACCGTTTTAGGCTGAAATGTTATGCACAACTTTTGTAGAAGGCATTCCATAGACGTGCGAGTTGTTCTTCGCGTATATTGTTTCCTTCGACATTATACTCAGTGAGTGTGCGATTCTCATTTTTAAATGCTTCAAGTAGCTTTTCTGCTCCCTCATCTCCTATGTTGTTGGCAGAAAGATTCAGTTCAATGAGTTTACAATTCACATTTTTAAGTGCTTCACTTATATGTGCTGCTCCTTGGTCCTTTACATTGTTTCTTTCAAGGATCAACACGGTGAGTTTACAGTTTTCTTTCTTAAGGGCATCAGTCAGGTGCTCTGCGCCCTTATCTCCAATATCATTAGCCTTAAGGTTCAACTCAGTGAGTTTGCATTTTACCGATTGAAGTGCATCAGCTAGATGTGCCGCTCCTCTTTCTCCTACATTGTTAAAAGCAAGGTCTAACTTAATTAGTTCACATGACGCATTTTTAAGTGTATCAGCCAAATATGCTGCCCCATACTCTCCAACATTGTTCCTACCAAGTTCCAACACGGTGAGTTTACAATTTCCATCTTTTAGTGCATCGCAAAGGTGTTGTGCCCCATCGAGTCCTATGCTGTTACCACTAAGGCCCAACACAGTTAGTTTACAATTTGCAACTTTAAGTGCTCTACTTAGGTGACCTACTCCATTGTCCCCTATATCGTTACCTGCAAATTCCAATTCAGTTAGTTTACAATTTACATCTTCTAATGCATGAGAAACATATGTTGCCCCTGTGATTTTGGCTTTGTTACGGGGAAGACGCAACACGGTCAGTTTACAATTTACATCTTCAAGTGCATCTCTCAGACTCAACAATCCCTTGTTTCTGATTTTGCAATCGCCAATGTCTAACAGAGTCAGTCTACAATTTTCGTTTCTAAGAGCATCACTTAGGAGTGCTGCTCCGTTGTCTCCTATATCGTTACCATAAAGGTGTAACTCCGTGAGTTTACAATGTTCATTTTTAAGTGCAATAGCTAAATATTTAGCTCCTTTGTCTCCTATGTTGTTACCTTTAAGATCCAGCGTGGTTAGTTTACAGCTATTTTCTTTCAGTGCATCACATATTGTTTTTGCTCCTTTCTCATCTATTCTGTTATAAGAGAGTTGTAACTTTGTTAGTGTACAATGTTGGTGTTTAAGTGCGTCACCCAGTTGTTGCGCTCCCTTACACCCTATCTCGTTGCGAGACAAATTCAAACTACGTAACTTGAATACACACTTACTACTATCACTTTGATCAACCCACTTTTGAACCTCCATACAACCCAACCAACTTATTTCATTACGTTCTAATGTTAACAAGATTGTTCCAGCGTTTTTAAGGAAATGCACTAAAGCTGCACAGTCAACAGGTGCTAAATTACAACCACTAAAATCCACTGCATTAAAACCAATTTCTTCAATTTTGCTTGTCACAGCAGATTGCTGCTCTAATTCGAGATCATACAAACAGTTGCATATGCGCAAGGCCAAATCTTTGTCTCCATCAGTTGGCCAACAGGTCAATGTAGTTGGCTCTTCAACTGCATAGTTCCAAGCAACATTCATGAGTTCCTTTTCATTCGTCTTACTTGTGGCCATGGGAAGAAGTTCTGTAAACATTTTCACCGCTGACATTTCTCCAGCAGCATCGGGGTCTAAAAGTCCAGCCACAAACTGCATCACTACTTGCCAAGCACTTTGGTTGATTTTATCTGAAGCAAATTTCCGCAATTCTTCAGTTTTCTTTATGGTATCTACCACATGCTTAGCGGCAAGAAATTCTTGTATTGTTAGGTGCAGGAAACAGAACTGAGCTTCACCTGCGTCAAGAGGAGTTGGGCTATTCAGGTCAGGTAGACGATGGAGCAATCCACAGTCCTCTACTCCTTCAACTTCTTTTGCTGTAAAGGTCAGTCTGCCCTCTTCAAGTCCGAGAAGGGCGATCTTTCCCAATTTACTAAAAACACTCTGAACTTGGGAGGGCAATTCGCAGTATCTTGTAAAAATAAACTGATCATTGGAGTCCTTAGACCCACGATATTCATCATTGTGTCTAAAGAAGAAAATCTTTAGGGCCAAACTATATATCTTGGTCAGCTTAGTGGGTAAATTGCAACCATTAGAATGCAGTTGTGACAAGCAGGAACAAATGATGAAGCAATGGACAGGAATATAGCAAAAGGTGAAGAGATTGATATTTGTA